TAATAAAATATATGAATGTCCCTAAATATGGGTCCACAATTGCTATAAAACACATATTTATTTATTGTTGACAACATAGTTCTGGTGTTAGCCAGTCCTGTGAGAATCAGCGACAGTGCCAACCATTTTAATGTTTGCACACTTTCTTCAATTATGGTTTTCTCCTGCCCATAGAGACGAGATCTGTGTGGCTCTAAATGAAAAGAACTATTAAAACAAAAGACAGCGCTTAAACTTCCAAGGTGATATGAATTATTGAGTCAGGGCTATCTACATGTTTAAAAATCTTTCTAGTTAAAAATCGTAAACAAATAAATATTAAAATTTCACAACGCTCGAACATCTATAATCTTAGCCCCTGAACTATTTAAAGTTAATGGTTTTAAATGTGATTTTCTTTGTCTTTTTGTGTACTGTACGTTATGTGTATGTAAAACATGGGACTATACATTTTCATATATATGTATATATAGAGATGCATTTAGTTATAAAAAATTGAAAACTCAATTTAAACTACTTTAAACAAATTCGTTGATTTATAAAATTACAAACTCCAGAAGGAAGGCATGTTTTGGTATTAGTTTAATTTAGCAGCTCACAGCAGATTAAAGCTCCTGTTTAGGCAGACGCAGGGGCTCGATCCCTCGGCCTGCCATGCCGGCCCTGCCCCCGAGGCATGCTGAGAGGGCGCCTGAGATTGGGCATGGTGGCACGCACCTATAATCCCAGCACGTAGGAGGCCGTAAACAGGAGGATCACTATGAGTCCGGTCTACACAGTGAAACCCTGTACATCCTGTCCAAAATACAATAATAGTAATAATAATAATTTAGGAGCTCAGAAATCTTTTTAAAGGCCAATTGTTTTGTAATACTGTATCTTTTTGTTTCTTTTAAAAATTCTGGTTCAATTACAGCTACCTCCTCTTACGGCAAGACGGTGGCCGACAGCATCTACAACCACCTTCCCAGACCCAGAGGAGCACAAGGCTCCCCTCTCATTGGACCATCTCGATCACGTGCCTTTAATTCTAAGCGTTGATTGGCTTAGGCCTTGGGCTGGGAGGTGACTCCCAGGAAACAGTTTCTAGAGCAGCACCTTGTACGCGAGATGGGGTTGGATGCTCCTCAGCGCCATCCCATGTATGGATGCCGCGCAGTCGCCCTCGCGTTCACCTCCTCCTCCCCTGATGAAAGGCTGGAAGAACGCACATCCCTGTGCCCACAGGGATAGCCTTCGAGGGATGGTGTTACCGAGGCTCATTTTCTTTTTTTTTAAATGCTTATCTGCATTTTACTTTTTTTTTTTTGAAGACACAGAAAGTTTATTTTAAAAATGGGACACATTATCAGAATAGCAAAAATAAGATGGGAAGAATTAGTATCAGCGCCACGAGAGACCTCTGCTCTTCCTCCATGGATGTGTAGCCCACGCTCGCGGGGCTGTAGGTCACGGCCTGTGCGGCTGGCCGGCCTCATCAGCCGTGCTAAGAGTATAGTCAGCCACGTCGTCTTCTGTGGGCGCATCTGCCACCACCCAAGACTCATTCACTCCAGTCATCGGTAAACGACAGGTGGGGCGATTTCTGTGCTGATCGTTCGCTCCATGTATCAGCACATTTCTGGCAGCAGCTGCGGGCGCAAGGCGGGATGAGGTCAGCCCGTCCATCCGTGCAGGTGAGGCCCTCCTCCCCATCGGTCAGCGGCTTCCCCTTCCCGTCCCAAGGCCAGCCTGAGGAGACGCCGCAGAGGACGAGTCTTCACCGAGCTCTTCAGAGGTGGAGCTCTGAGCCAACTCTCCTGCTGCTTGACTTGTGACATCTTTATAAAGCTGAACGAACTGGTACGAATTCCTGATCTGTGATGCTTCCGCAGTGACGCTGCTTTGGTTAATCTTGGTACAGACCACCCGTGCAGCCACTTTCCATAAGGCAGAGGAATCAGAACTAGGTTTGTACGTCAAAGAGATGTTTTTCCTGGCCAGTAGCCACTTCAGCAGTTACGTCACTGATTTCAGCTACTCTCCCAAGAAATTCTTCATAAGTTAAGGAGCTACTTTCTCAAACCAACCTGTGTTTTGCTACTTTTTCTGGTAACTTGTTAATAACCAGCTGTGTCTGATCTGAAATTTGCTGTCCCACGATGAAATGATGCCTTGTAGAATCCAGGAAAAGTGTCACATCACATAATTTATTTTGTGGAGGTTTCGGTCCATACTCGACTGGCTCCAAGGCAGGGTGGCATAAGGCGGAGGGCGGCAGTTCATGGTGGCAGACGACAGTGAAACAGCAAAAGCAAAAAGCCAGGAGCAGTGGCTGTATTTTACATTTGTAACAACAAATATGTTAATACCTTCAGAGGGAAACAAAAGCTATAACGATGAAGACATGCTGGTGTATAATTTGTACATAATTAGCAGCTCCTGGGATTTTAGGCAGACCTGTTGGCAAACGGGAAGGATGAATTTTCAGAGTGGTTCCAGCTGTGCCTTGCAGAAGCTCCACCTGCCTTTCCCTTGCCGTGGCATGATCTGACACCTTTGATGGTCAGTTTGGCTTGACACCACGGGTCCCAATGGCTTGGATTTTTCCTGCCTATTTCTGTGAGGAAGACATTTCAGCTTTCCCCAGAGCCCCTCTCCCTTGTGCTCTTCACCTACCATAACATGAGTCCATGGCCCAGGAGGGGCACCAGGCACATGCACCCACTGGCAGAGGCGCCCCTGTGTGCAGAAGTGCAGGCCTGACCCCAGGTTCTTCACTTCCTCCATGCACTGAAGAAACAGAGTGTCCTTTCAGGAAGTGGCCATCGCAGAAAGCCCCACTGTCTCGGCCCTCCTGCAGCTTGTGCTCTGTGAGTCATAGTGCGACTCTGGCGGCGGGCACCTGGGGAGTGGCTGAGGGCTGAAGGCACAGGCCGCAGGGTAGAAGTGAAGTTCAGGAGCCTCTTGGTTCTCTGCTGTTCAGATGCTGGGTCCTGGAAGTTCTTCCTCGTATTTGCAAAGAGACTCTTGCTGTTCTCCCTGTCCTTCTTGGAAGAGAGAAGCCGTGCAGGTGCAAAAGACCGTAAGGTAAGATGTCTCCTGTCCAGCTGGGCATCTGAATTCTTTTGCTCCTGCAACTGGTTCTCAGCTCTGCATTTTCAGAGCTTGGTTTTATCTGAGTGAGGCTTTCTGGAATGGTCCTGCTGTGATGGGATGCATGGCACTGGTATTTTAGAGTCATTAGAAGAGCTGCAGTTCTAGGGCCTGGGGAAATAGCTCAGTAGAATAAGTGCTTGCCTGGCAAGAACAGGGTCCTGAGTTCAATCCCCGGTACTGTGAAAAACAAAAACAAAACAACAAAAAAAACCCTCATCTTACATTTGATCCTTCAGTTCCTTAGCGTGATGATTGGGTGTTCATGCTTTATGAATGAAATGTGCCCCCTCCAACCTTGTTATGATGTGGGCACGTTACTGTTCTGACGTGGGGGGGAAAAAGGAGCTGCAGTTCTAAAAGTGTTGAAATAGTTCAGGTTGAGCAGTCAAGGCACATTGGCCTAAGCGTGTGGTGGCAGTGGCGGTGGTGGTAGAGAGAAAGTGGCTGTTGGATGGTCTTAAGAAGGCATTTAGTGACTCCTGAATGTCTCCTGCCCCACCAGGTTGCAAAGCCCACACGTGAGGACCTTGCCCTTGTTCGACATTGTGTCTACAGTGCTTGCTTTAGGCACTCAGCACATGCGTGGTGAACGGACAAGCACAGGGCCAGGTAGCTGTGGACAAGAGTCAGTGTCCTACGCAATGTTTTCTCTGACCCTCCTAGAAAGATTAGATTCCCTCCTCTAAATGTTCAGCACCTTAAGGTAAAGTACTTAACTCTAAGTTGAAAGTTTTGGCCTGTACATCTGTCTTTCCTGAAAGCCCATGTGCTACACAAAAGCAGCGCTTCTGCCCCATTTTCCCACTTACTTCTAGGCATGGTGTGGAGTGCCCGGCACCTAGGAGACACCCAGTGAGTTATAATGTCACTGTTGCAGCTGTGGATATTCCCCAGCTTGGGGAACAGACTTACAAGTGGGTCCGACTTTACATGAACCTCGTTGCCTTTGTTTCTTCAGTGTTGGTGACACTTCGGCAACTTCTGTCTCCACTTGTCTTAGCTTCTGAGGGAATGACAGCCCCTGTTTCCAGCTGTTATGTCAGGCTCCTCTGCATGGATTGAACACACAGACTGTGGTGAATGGCCAGTGAGGTACTTTTTCAGGATCAGATCAGTCACCTCCTGATTTTACAGAAAGAGACATCTTAATCCCGTAGCAAATCACCTGCGAGTCTTGGGGTTAGGGCACAGCAGCACACGGCTCCTGGGTCAGGTGGTTCCTTAGGCTTTGGCCACCCAAGTGGAAGCCGTGAGCTATGCCATGCTCAATGCTTGCCATCTCTTATTGCCAATAGTCCTCCATCCATAGACTGCACTCCCTCCCACGGGTACTCTCGCCTCCTTCTGATTTGTAGTTTTGGTACATTTTCTCCAACTCAAAAAAAAAAAAAGCCCACTGTGATTTTGGTCTGGTTTTTGCTTTCTTTCCCTTGCAATGTCCCAGTGTCCTTGTGCTCCCCCTGCTCAAATCAATGAAGTGTTCTGAGCACAGAGGTCCTCTCTCACCCGTCTCTGCGGGGTCAGCATTCGGCGCAGTGACTTGGCACATGGTGGGTGCACATGTGTGTGTGTGTGTGTGTGTGTGTGTGTGTGTGTGTAATGAATGAGCAAGGGAGGGAGCGAGGCTGGAAGGTAGAAGGGGAAACTGGGATTGGGCATGGACTGAACAATTAAAACTCAAAAATTGTAATTATAAATGATTTCCCCATTCAAAAGTTATTTAATGATAATATATTTGGTTTTTCAAAGTTAATAATATTCTTGGTCATTAATATTTAGATTATAATGGGGCCAGGGAGATGGCTCAGTGGAATAAGTGCTTCCCTGGCAAGCACACAGGCCTGAGTTCAATCCCTGGTTCTGAAAAAAAAAAAAAAAAAAAAAAATTTAGATTATAAGTTCATTTAAAAAATTTGAACTATAGTTAGAAATAACAATTGCAAGGTAACAATACTAGCAATAACAGTAATATAATTTCCATATGGAAAGTCCATTATGTAAAAAAAAAAAAATGAATGTAATGGTTGCTTTTTAAGAAAATCGCAAAATAACTATTGAAATGACCACTTAATCTATAAATGCAATTCTAGATTCTATGCTAATTCTAAAAAGCAAATATAAATGCTAATGAAAATAACCAAACCTTTTTTTTTTTGCGGTTCTGAGGATTGAACTCAGGACCCTGTGCTTGCCATCTCCCTGGCCCAAACTTGAGAAGGATTCTTTTTTTTGGCTGGCTCATGCTGCCTTAAGGGCGGGTCTGGTGCAGCATGCAGAGCTAGGGATGGAACTTTGGTCCCCTGCACCTGACTGAGTTTGCCCAAGCAGGCACTTTAAACAACTGAGCTAACTCACAAGCCCCTCAAAATAACCAAACTTTGATAAGTTTGTGTAAGTGAATTTTGCTACAGAAAAATGCATGTCCGTCTTCAAAGTAATAGAATTTCCTGTGAAAGGTGGTTGTATAATTCTACCCAAGTAACTTTATTTTTTAAAATTTTTTTCCATAATTTTATTGAGAAACAAATAGCAATGAGATGGTTTCAAACCAAACTGGTAGGACAATTTCAATAATTAACACATTGCATACATTCTTCCTACTGGTTAATTGCTGTACAAGATGCGGACATGGTATCCTATTTACAAACACCATCAGAACAAATCACTCTATTCATTAAGAGAATGTAACTATATATCTATCCTAACCACTTTGAATACACAGATACAAAATGGACACTCATCTGTATCCCCTTTTTTTGTTAAATTCTGTTATTTGAATATTATAGGTGTGTAAACTCAGCAACCAACTAACTTTATAGATACATAGGCAACTCACAGAAATCAATTATATGGCATTAAGCAAAAGTTCAAGTTAAGAGTCAACTGTGTGCTATGTAAAAGCTCTTATAGAAGCCAAAGGTGGAGTTATTCCATGGATTTTTCAGTTCTAACTATAAGATTTCTTTTTCTTTTTTTGGTGACCAGCTCAGCCCACCCTGGGGGTGGGGAATGGTGCATCATGTGGTGCCTGGGATTGAACCTCAGTCCCTGCTCATTTGCCTAAGCTTGTCTAAGCAGGCACTTTAGACCTCTGAGCTATCTTTCTGGCCTTAGAAGATTTCTTTAAAACCATACTTCATTTGGATCTGAACAGCCAGTTTTGCTGGCAAATGCAATCAAGAATAATCTGCATTATAAAAGACATCTAATGAAGACAGAGGAAAGGGAATATAACCAAGCAATGCATGCAGCATGTAGATTGCACGACCAAGGGATTTCTTTCTCATCTCTAAAATTAATCAAGTATCTATAAAACATTAAGATTAACTATAATTAAATTCCAGTGTAATTTAAGGAAACAGCCTTAAACCCAACAGAAAGTCTACAACAATCCCACATGCTGGTCAGAGAGAGAACACTAGAAAGCTTCCTGGAGTGTGCAGCTCTCTGTTTGCCAAAATTTCACCCACAGAGCACCTGGTTATGGCTAAAGCCAGGTGCGGCTTGCTGGAACAGAAGAGCCTGTCTTGGCTTTGGTGTGGGGCAGCTAGTTCCACTGTGCTATGAAAGAAAACCGCTAACTTCGGAGTGAGGGTTACCGGCCAGTGAAACTCAAAACGTACCATCTTGACTGCTCCACGTTGTGCTCCAAGCTTTAATAATGTTGACATTCCACACAGGCAAATTATTTTGCTAGGTCAATATTTGCAGTACTGCACATTAAAATAACATCAGTGTGTTTCAAAGTAAGTGTTACAATATGAGCTCAACAGAGAAAACCCTATAAACCAAAAACAAAGTCCTCAGAGAGTTTGGAAACCGTATGAGCACGGAACCATGTGTTCAGCAGCAGACAGGGCGGCTCACTCCTAGGGGCTCACTGACACCCCGTGGACCTTTGACACCTGGCGGGAGGGAGAAGGGAGAAAGAGCGCCTGTTACTGCCCACCAGGCAACTTCAAGATGCAGGACGCCAAGGTCAGGATGTCAGAGATCTGGTCTCTGCGTTTGCCCTCACGCTGAAATCCACGCTGCAGGCACTTAGGTCCTTTGATTCTTGCCCGTAGGTGGCAGAAATATTTGCTGCTTCCCTTCCTTGGCTTGTGCCATGCCAGTGCAGAGAATGCCACCCAAACATAATCCAATTACTGCTTCATTTTGGCCAGTGAAGTGTACTATGGTTTACATTGCCACTTAACTTAGTTACTATTGAAGCTACTATTTAGTTTAAATTACTACTTAAGTTACTATTAAGTTCTTAGGTAAGTTACTATTTAGATTTGTTACCATTTAAGCTACTATTAAGATTTATGATGTTGTATACTTCACTGTTATAGTAAGCATTGAGCAATATTTTTCCAAAATCCTAAAATGACTCCTATATCTTTATTTGTATATATTAATGTGTATTAGGGACAGAGAAGTGCACCATTACATCATGTTCTCTTTGTTCCTATGAGTGTCATTGTTACTGTAGTAAGTTTATAACTACATGCATTTTTCCCTAGCTAAATTATAACATGGAAAATAGTTTTGTTAAGCATTTTTTGTTTATTTGTTTTTCTTTTTGTGGTACTGGGGATTGAACTAGATATTGCACTTTCCAGGCAAGTGCTTATGCCGCTGAGCTACATCACCAGCCTTCGTTAGCCTTGCTATAGCTACCTTCTTTCTGATACTTCCCTCTTGAATATCTACATTCTAGGCCTGGAAATTCTTTCTCTCTGTCCCTGTCCATGAAGAGTCTTGTGTTTCAGAGCCTCAATGCAGTCAGTAGGGAAGTTTGTGCATTCGTGAGTGATTTTAAAGCATAAGTATCGAGCTGGGGAGATGGCTCAGTAGAATAAGCGCTTGCCCGGCAAGAGCAAGGGCCTAGGGGCCAGGGAGATGGCTCAGTGGAATAAGCACTTCCCTGGCAAGCACAAGAGCCTGAGTTCAATCCCTGGTTCCGCAAAAAAAAAAGAGCAAGAGCCTGAGTTCAATCCCTGGTTCCGCCAAAATAAAGAAAGCAAGCAAGCAAGCAAGCAAGCATGAGTATTTTGGGGAAGGACACATTCTGAGCAAGGTAGCGTGACTCTGATGAACCTTCTCCGTGCTGGACTTAGAAGAATGCTTGCACATCAAGTTTTGGTCAGAATGAAATGGGGAAGGAAGCTGGAGAATTTCCTTTCATGTGATAAAAAGGTGGGTTGAGACTCAGAAAGTGAACTGTCATGAGGAAAGCATGTGGGTTTTCTGTCTTCCCAAATCTCTGAGAGAAATTAGGAGGCGACTTCAGTGGTTCTGCATTCTCCACATGACCTTTGGGAGCTGTCTGAGACGCCCAAC